AGTATACACAGTACTCCTCTGTACTAAATCTACCATTCGCCCCGACACCTTCAGACACGTCTGATATGTGCATCTAACCAGCAACACTATAATTTTAATAATGACAAGGGATTACATATGATTACTAGTCTTTCCTCTGTCTTGTTTTCCTTTGTCTAAAAATATCACCTAATAGCCATTTTACATATATTTTTGTATTTTTATCATTGTCTCTTGTACTCAATACATGAACTGAAATTTCCACAACATCATATCTGTCTGTCTTTTGTATGTCTAGCAAACTTGAAAACCTGTCTTTACAGCTTTGTGATATTCAATACATTTGTCAGTTCTGAGGACATATTGTAAAAATAAATGTATATACAGTTCAATCAGACATAATTTCAGTCATACCTGTGCTTATTTTTACATCACATTTTAGTACACCAAAAAAAGGATTATGTTGTAAAATGCATTGCCAAAAAGAATTTGTAGCACAATTTCACCAAACTATTTAACTCTGTGACTAATTGTCTTTCTTGAATCAAATTGCCATCAGTCACCCTGAAAATAACTAGCTATTACTTTGTTCTGAACCGCTGACCACTAAAAAGTCAGGTGTTCAGCTACATTCTTTTCCTGCTCTTTTCCCCCTCCTCTCCACCAAAAATCAAAGATAATTACCAGTCAGATAGAAAACACAGTAGATAAAGCACAGAGATCTCATAATGGCAACAATTAAGTTAGAAAAAATAAATAAACACCCCATTTGCTTTCAGGTTTAAAAGTGTTTACCCTCCACCCCTGGTTTCATATAAGTAAAACTCTGTTCCATGTCTCCAGACAGAACTCTTTAAAATAACAGATAAGCATACAGAGATTGTTCACATCAATGTGGATGTGCCCAGCATGTGCAGAGGTGTTAAAGAACCCTCTTAACGAAGATTTTAATTCATCCTCTGTGATGTTAGTTACTATATGAAACTATAGTGATTTTTCCAGGGACCAAAATAAAAATGTCAAAGGGATTCCCCACCCCCCTCCCCCACTTCCTTCGCACTCTTATTTAAGAGCATCCCCCACCCTCTACTTTCAGGGTGGGTTCATACCAGGTGCCAGTGAGGGAAACCAGTGTCACATATGCAATAACCCTTACAACCTGAATGAGGCTTCAGAAAAGGGATGCTGCATCTTGAAGCTAGACAAGAAACACTGGAGGGGTGGGGGGAGGGGGTTGAGCAGGGACGGAGGGAGGCTGGGGGAAAAAAGAAATCATCTCCTCTGACCTCTAGTGAAGTGCCAGGTTTTTTCTTTAGCTCTTCACATTTCCTAAATTTGCAGATCTGGTGTCCCGTTTTGCGGTTCCTGCAACTGCTGCAGACGCCACAGTTGATGAGCCTCTTGCAGGGCACGCAGACCCCACACCTTTTCCTCTTCTTCTTGGCAGGGTTGCCTGCC